AAGAATGTAAGTTATGTGTAATTAGGGTTCTAGACTAACTGAAAGATATTATAGTAAAGTGCATCCTTTATAATTAGTTATTACTTTCCTTTCTTGTTTCCTATTACCTTTTATATATAGGTCATATTATTTAGCAAAATACACAATACATTATTCTTGACGAATAGTGATTTTAATAGTTTTTGGGAATAGTTGGTAACTTACCTTAGGTATTTCATTTTCTACCACAACTAGAGATAAGATTTCAAATCATGACCATCTTATTCTATTGAAAATAAATTCTAGTATAAGAAATGGCACATATGCATTGTTTGCACATTCGGATAATGGCTTGTCCACGTAAGGGTTTGTTATGATATAAATAATAAAGTTAGAATCTTTTCCTGTCAAATTAAGCTTTCAGGATGATTAGTAACTGAACTATTGTCTTACATTATACATATTTGTCAATTTATTTCCCACATCCAGTAAACATATAGCACGCTATGTTATGTGTCAAAGCATAAGTTCACCGGTAAGTGAGGTAGTTGAAATAGTCAAGGTGGCTCACTTCTCTGGCTAGGTCTATAAATGTTACACATGGGAAGAAGAAAGTTGACCGAGTCAAAGGTGATCAAGATCAGATATGGTCTCATTTGTTTTCTTTTTTCTGGTTTGTTTCATTTCTGTTCTATGCTATGCTTTTATTTTCCTTTATTTCTAAAATTATGGGAATAATTGTGAGTTCTTTCCTTAGTTTACTTAACTCTGCTTATTAGGACTGGTTATTAAATGATTGAACAATCGAGAACAATTTACTCGTGATTCTTAGTTAATATTCATAAAAGTATCTAATCAATTATGAGTTCAATACACCATGTTTAGTTAAAAGACGGATATTCTTTACTCATTATCAATAATCACTTATTCACAAACTCTCTATGGGTTCAATAGTTTTTATTTTCCCTCTTACGAAAAACCCATATTGTTCTGCTTAGCCCTATCCCCCTCTAAGGGCATTTTAGTGATAAGTTCTATAGGGATTGGAAGATCCTATTTGGTCAAATACCTATCTGCAAACTGATGATATAAATTCTTGATATGGAAATGAGAGTTTAAGCAGATAGTATTATCAAATTGAAATGTCTTTTCTAAACTCTGACATTCTTAGCTTCCCTCTAATGAGTCCTTATTTCATGTCATAATAGGTAGAGGCAGAAAAGCTTCTAAACTCTCTAAATTCTAATTCTCTCCTGGACTATCCTGCATATAGACTCATACCTCAATCATTGACCTGGGACCCTAACATGTCATTTCACATTTGTACTGCATCTTAATTTTCATATTTCCTTCTCAGGTCACTCTTTGTTGACAAATTTTTGCTATGGAAAATATTTCCTGTTTGTTGCCTGCGATGGATCCTGCATTTTGCTGTTCTTGAATGCCCACCTATTACTGATTCACTTGCTAAAGGTCATGAAGTACGGGGCCTGTTAGACACAGTGCAGCGGTTAACTGCAGTATGGTCAAAAAGAGAGTTTGTACAATCAGCATCACTGGAGCAGCAAGCTTGTATCCTTTGTGATGCCAACATATGTTTTAATTAAATGTTCTCCATTCACTTAGATGAAGAATTCTCTCCATTCATTTAGGTTTCTCACTTCTTAGTATTTTGGATTTTCTATTTAATTTTACCTAATTCACGCTCTGTTCACCTTAGTTTACATCACAGATGTAACTGCAGCTATTGGGCTTTGCCTGGAAAAAATGTCTAAAGAGAGCTAGATAGACCACAGATGTGATGCATGAATCTCAAGAGTAGCTGTATGTATTTCTGTGAATTATGAGTATACTGCATGTCACTGGCTGGTGGTTCTCAATTCTTCTTTTTTGCCTTTGTTTTCGCAGGTAGGCTGGAGAGCCCTACACATCTAATTCGGAAAATGGCTAGCAGCATTGCTTTAGTGTTCTCTAAAGTAATTGACCCAAAAAATCCTCTACACCTGGATGATAGCTGCATTGAGGAAACAATTGACTGGGAATTTGGATTGAAAACCACCAAAGAAGGGACTCTATCTATCTCAAAATCTATAGAAAAGAGTATTGATGAAATGAAAACATCAACTGCCTTAGTGCCAGCAGAAAATTTCGACCAGAAAGCTGATGATACTTCAGGTGATAATTTGAAGGGTAAAAACAAAATATCATATGAACCAAAGTTGATTGATCCAGATGAAATTATTGATCCAGCTTCCCTAATTTATGATACGGACTCCAATGATGACGAGGATAATGCAAGTGATAATTCTGATTCTTCCAGTGACTCTTCTTTGCAACCATATGATTTGTCAGATGATGACACAGATTTGAAAAGAAAATTTACACAGTTGGTTGATGTAGTAGGAGCTTTAAGAAAAACTGACGATGCTGACGGGGTAAGTCAATTGTGTTTATTACCCAGTGACATTTCAAAGGTTCTTCCAAGTTTAATTGTGAGCTTAATATTAATTCAATCTAACAATTTGTGACATCTGCGAGAGCATATGTTTTGATAGACTATCTGCTGAGAATTAGGAAACTATTACCATTCACCTTGTGTGATTGGATGGGTGCATAAAATTTCTTGTATGAGTCGTGGACATCTATAATTAAGAGTTTGTTTAAGGTGTTGGAAGTTGGGAAGTAAACTTTGTCGACATTTATGAATATCAAATATTGCAGGTGGAGATGGCTCTGGATGTTGCTGAAAAGCTTGTGCGAGCATCTCCTGATGAACTGACACATTTAGCTCGCGATCTTGTTAGAACTCTTGTACAGGTTCGCTGCTCTGACGTGGCTGTAGAAGGTGAGGAAGAATCGGCAGAAGAAAAGCGGCAAAGAGCATTGGTTGCATTGCTTGTAACCTGTCCATTTGAGTCTCTTGACTCATTGCACAAATTATTATATTCACCAAATGTAGACATCAGCCAACGCATAATGATACTTGATGTCATGACTGACGCAGCTCAGGAGCTTGCTAAGACAAAGACCTTGAAAGCTAAACAACAAAAGAAGGTTCTCATTTCAACAATCTCGGAGACTCAACCCTGGTTCTTGCCTAGCAGTGGAGGACCTCCTGGAGTTGGACCTTGGAAAGAGATTTCGGATACAGGAAGTCTACTGAACTGGTCAAATCGTTATGAGAGAGAAATTCCATCAAGGCCTGGTCAGATAAAGAGAGGGAAAACACGCAGATGGAGCCTCAGATCGGCGAATGAACAAGAAAACCAGATAGAATGGTCACATAATAAATTCCCCGTATATGCAGCAGCATTTATGCTTCCTGCCATGCAGGGATTTGATAAGAAAAGGCATGGTGTTGACTTGCTT